CCCTATTCAAAAGATCTAATTCCTTTTTAATCCTTTTTGCTACCTAAAATAACGAAAATATTTTCTATGAACCGGTTTTTCCTCTTTGGGTGTTTTTGGTAGTTCAGTCTACCGGTGTCTTGCTAGTAGACAAAGGGGAGGCTACTGGACAATGCCTACGTCATTGATAAAGAGATTTCGAAAGGGCGTTTCTGCTACGGGGAATACTTCGAAGGACTTAATAGAAAGGTAGACTAAGTACATTTTACAAGTGGTTCCAGTCACTAGTGAGATAATTTATTGAATGGCCCTGGTACACATACCACATATATTATGTTTCTGAATAAATAAAGACTGATGATATCTATTAAATTGCTTTGTCAATTACTTTGTTTTGATTGAACTTTCCTTTTGTTAATAATTTCCATCTGACTAAAGGTCAATAACTATTTATTTTGTCATTTTTGTTCGAACAATTTATCATTGTAAAAGTTCTTGTCTGATAAAATAACATTTTTGTTTTAAATACATGATACAATTGTACGACTGTATGCGATTTATACCGTTATTCACTCTGTTGTCGTAATAACGATGTTATTTAAAGCCATATATTTGTCGTTGTAAGTGTTTTACTTTGAGGAATTGCTAAACGAATTTCCATAGACAAGATTGTTATATTGTGAAATGATTAAATGCAACTTAAGCAAAGAATTGTGTAGTGCCGTTTCGAATGTATTGTTTCAATAACACTGCTTATAGGTTTTGAAATATTTGAAAGACCTAAGCAGATATAACAGATCAGCTTTGTAACCTTTCAGTAAATGCATTCCTTACACAAGTTCTTCAACAAGTGGCTAAAATCTCGTTTTATTCGTTTTTCGACATCTGGTGGCGTTTATTGAATTTCTATTTAGATACATATTATCGCTTTTCAAGCGTAAAAGTAATCCTTATGCTGATCAATTTGATGTCCAAACGAAACAAGTTTTGTCTCTTTTAGAGTTTATTCTGTTGTCCTTGAATGACGGTAACAGCATGCGCTGTATCTACGTACTTTTCAGCAAGAAATAGCAATTTGCTTTGTTGCATTGATCAGTGAGACAGCAAGAACTACATATCGTAACTCCATGAACTAAAGCACGACCACGACCAAAATCATTAGAGCATAGCTGGAATAAAACATAGGTTTTACGTTATAATATGAAAGTAATATCAGTATTAAAATAGAACATATAAAGTTCTATTTTGCATTATCAGTAGATAATAATTGCAGTATAACTGTATACCGGAAAACATTCGCCAAGTCGAACTTTCGCCCTTCGCTGGTAAAATCCATAGTTGTCCAAAGTCTTATTCGCCTAACACATTTAATGATTATATATTATATCATTATGTGATGTGTTAATGTTCGCTGTAAAGATAGCCGTTGTTGGAGGGAAAGCACTAAACTACGATAGCCATTTCCTGGTGATCTGTAGTCCTTAAATTGTGTCAAATGGATGGAATGATAAACGTTACATAAACTTGTCCCCCCCCCCCCCCCCCCCCCCACACACACACACCTTTTTTACGTACTCATATTTTTTGTTCTCAATGATTCTTCCTTTGCTTTTACGTAATATTATATCGTTAATTATTATTACATTTATAATACTTGGAATGCATGTGTAAGTAGTACGATAGATATTATAAAATATTATACAATAACAAATTCCTTATTTCACTTTAAATGTTATTTTTGTTAATACATATGTGATGGTTAGTTCACACATATGTAATAATATAAAGATAACGGCTATATAATCTCTTTACTGCATGTAAATTAATAAATATGTATAAGTTTGTTTTTATAAGTTATGTTTTTAAAAGAAAAAAGTGTCCCATGTAAAGAAGGCTCAGTTTAAAAAACAAAACAAACGCTGAGCCATTTCATCATCGTATGCAATACATTTGGGATTTTTCCTTTTTATCTTAATCATGTTTTTCCTCTCATTTTTATTGTTAATGTTACTCAATTTTTACATATCTTTTTACAAATTAGTTAATTATATGTTAATATTATTGTCATTGTCATGTCAACACTCAATATCAACACACCGTCATAACAACAAGATAATACTATTGTCACCGTCATGTCAACACTCAATATCAATCTTTCCGTCATAACAACAAGACAATACTATTGTCTTCGTCATGTCAACACTCAATATCAACACACCGTCATAACAACAAGACAATTCTATTTTCACCGTTATGTCAACACTCAATATCAATCTTACTCTCATAACAACATGACAATAAAATTGTGTTCTTTTTGGCAGCAAATGCTATTATTGTTACCGTCATGTCAACACTCAATATCAATCGTACCGTCATAACAACAAGACAATACTATTGCCATCGTCATGTCAACGCTCAATATCAATCGTACCGTCATAACAACAAGATCATACTATTGTCACCGTCATGTCAACGCTCAATATCAACCGTACCGTCATAACAACAAGATAATACTATGGTCATCGTCATGTCAACGCTCAATATCAATAGTACGGTCATAACAACAAGACAATACTATTGTCACCGACATGTCAACGCTCAATATCAACCGTACCGTCATAACAACAAGATAATACTATTGTCATCGTCATGTCAACGCTCAATATCAATAGTACGGTCATAACAACAAGACAATACTATTGTCACCGACATGTCAACGCTCAATATCAACCGTACCGTCATAACAACAAGACAATACTATTGCCACCGTCATGTCAACGCTCAATATCAATCGGACCGAAATAACAACAAGATAATACTATTGTCATCGTCATGTCAACGCTCAATATCAATCGTACAGTCATAACAACAAGACAATACTATTGTCACCGACATGTCAACGCTCAATATCAACCGTACCGTCATAACAACAAGACAATACTATTGCTATCGTCATGTCAACGCTCAATATCAATCGTACAGTCATAACAACAAGATAATACTATTGTCACCGTCATGTCAACGCTCAAAATCAATCGTACCGTCATAACAACAAGACAATGCTATTGTCATCGTCATGTCAACGCTCAATATCAACCGTACCGTCATAACAACAAGATAATACTATTGTCACCGTCATGTCAGCGCTAAATTACAATCTTACCGTCATAACAACAAGACAATACTATTGTCTTCGTCATGTCAACACTCAATATCAACACACCGTCATAACAACAAGACAATTCTATTTTCACCGTTATGTCAACACTCAATATCAATCTTACTCTCATAACAACATGACAATAAAATTGTGTTTTTTTGGCAACAAGTGATACTATTGTCACCGTCATGTCAACACCCGATATCAATCTTACCGTCATAACAACAAGACAATACTATTGTCATCGTCATGTCAACGCTCAATATCAATCTTACCGTCATTACAACATGAAAATTAAATTGTGACATTTTTGGCAACAAGTGATATTATTGTCACCGTCATGTCAACACCCGATATCAATTTTACCGTCATAACAACAAGACAATACTATTGTCATCGTCATGTCAACGCTCAATATCAATCTTACCGTCATTACAACATGAAAATTAAATTGTGACCTTTTTGGCAACAAGTGATATTATTGTTACCGTCTTGACAATGTTCAAGTATAGCCTTTGGATCAGGTCGATACCTGGATTTATCAAACCGAGAAAAGATACCTTAACCGAGGACGCAGTCCGAGGTCAATATATCTTTTCTCGGGTCGATAAATCCAGGCATTGACCAAAGTTAAAGGCTAACAGTAGTGAATAAGCGTATGCAAGTAAGAAGGTATATACGGTTACTTACCGATTGTAACAACAGTCAGCAATATAACAATTTCTGTTTAAATTAAAAAAAGATGGAATGTATGAACAATGTTTTTTTCTAAAGTTGGTAATTAGTATATGCTTATCACAAAACACTTATAAGCTGTGTTTGGGTTGTATCTAGTCTGTTGATATATGGTCCGGCATACTCCGGATCGCTGTGATAGGACTGAGTGAGCGCACTGTTTAAATGTATAACGATGAGACCACGTTGAAAATTGTTTTGATTATCATAAGGTAGTTTTCTCTGTACAGTTTGTAAAACTTGAGAATGTATGTAGTTGTAATACGAGTGAATGTTAGATCCTTGTCTTATTCCTCAATTTGTTTGTATGTGTATTTTAATTTTGTTTCAAACTCCTCATACTTCCTTCGCCGAAAATAGTTTTTGTTTTATTTTTTGTTGCACTAGAGTTAGTGTTTCCTGTTTTTATAAAACTGTTTTTGATTCAGATACATCAATACACTATTTAAATCAAATACTGTATGTACACCCAATCGCGTAACCGGAGTACCCGGAGAAAAACCACGTGGTCGGACAGGTGTTACCCTAATCTTTTCACGTCCGATCGGGGAATCGAACCCCGGCCGCCTTTGTGAAAGGCAAGTGCGCTATCCACTGTGCACAAATAAATGTTATATCTTTATTATTACATTTTTACATTTATTTTTAAGTATATACCTTACAAAATATATTCCACATAACCGATAGATAGAGGAAATATCACAAATATTGCGAAGAATGTGTATTTCCTTAAAGCATTGTAAATTGAGTTTCACTTGATATCAATTTGAGGTATATTTTAGAAAAAAAATATACAGAATAAAACAGAGTTACAAAACATCACAGGAAGAAACCCTCAATTAATAAATGAGGTGTGTCCTTTATAGTAGGGATATTTGATAACAGTGACAATATGTTAACATACCGTCAATACAATAAAAGTCTAAAAGTTTGAATTGTTATTCTGTAATTTCCTTATGGTGGAGTAAAATTGTGTCACCCTTTCTACACCAACAGATATATATGTCCATGTGTTTATTTTTTTCTCCTTTCTGGGCATATTTTTTCAACCACGATAATTGAATGCTCTTATAGTTTGGAGTTTTAAACCTGAATTGTAAAAACAAAAAAAGAAAACTTGACTTACCTCGAAGCATCGTTCTGGAATTTTAATACGTGTCTGAAATCTATTGCGTGATTGAACCAACTTATATAATAGGAAAGCTCAATGTACGCATAACCCTGTTTGAAATAAAGATAAGAAAATTACCACAGAGTCTTTTTTTGTCAGGTGTTTGGCCTAAATATTTTATTTTATGTAGATATCGGGACGAAAATAGACCGTTGTAGGTCTGAGGACAAATAGATTCAAGCATATGTAGGTATAGGGACTAACACTCTTTTATGTGTAAGTATAGGGCTTAACTATTTTACTATATGTTGATATGGGGACGATAATGCCCCTCCATATGTAGGTATTGGGGGAAAAAGAGGATAACAAAATGATTCTCTATGTCATACTTAATTAAGCGAGCTTTAATAAATTGGGGACTTGTTCACGCCTTCCTTTCCCTAACGGTAGGTTGTGTTTCGGCCGACGTGAGGGGTTAAGTTTCCGCTTACTAGACCCTTTTTAGATGCAAAAGAGTCCCTGGCCCGTCCAGGTTACGCCCAAAGGTCGGACTGCTCCTCAGATGCGGATAGGCTGTCACAGTGGCTTCGGTGCATAGATCCATATCTACACGTGGTACCTGTTGTCCTTCTTTGTCATATAGACACTAATGTAAGATTCTATTCATCACATAACATCCATCATTTAAAACCAAAGTACTCCGATCACAGTAATCTCGTTCCGCGCTGTACAAAGTAGTTCAAAATTTCGTTTTTATGGTGAACAGTTTTAATGGAATGAAAACAATAATGACAAAATAAGCATTTAAAATTAATTCAATAGCGAAAGCATCAATTTTTATCAGACAAGAAATGCAGTTAATTACTATTAGTATATTAAGTGGCGTAGGAATATGCTACAACCGTTTTTACCAATCGCAGCATCCTTAAATTTTATCACGCGTGTGTATTATAAAATTAATTAACAAGGCCGTAAAACATAGTCAAATGGGTCAGTTATGAGATACAATATATTATGTAATATGAAGGTATGACAACTAAAACAGTTCATCATACATTTGCGCGATCGGACAACGTTACACAAGGTGCGGTGTGTGCATGTATAGAAAACGAAATATGTCAGCGTATTTTTTTCGACACTGCCAACGACAATCGATGCCATCACTTACATAATTTGGCACGTTAAGTGGAAAATGAAACACAAAACTCGGGGAAACCTCATTTGTGACCGGACAGTTCAGTACACATTTACGGACAATAGTACTAGCTGTACTTCAGTGTCTCACTGGTTACAGTGTCCCACTGGTTACAGTATCCCACTGGTTACAGTGTCACACTGGTTACAGTTTCCCACTGGTTATAGAGTCACACTGGTTACAGGGTCCCACTGGTTACAGTGTCACACTGGTTACAGTGTCCCACTGGTTACAGGGTCCCACTGGTTATAGAGTCACACTGGTTACAGGGTCCCACTGGTTACAGTGTCCCACTGGTTACAGTGTCACACTGGTTACAGGGTCCCACTGGTTACAGTGTGCTACTGGTTACAGTGTCCCACTGGTTACAGGGTCCCACTGGTTACAGGGTCCCACTGGTTACAGTGTCACACTGGTTACAGGGTCCCACTAGTTACAGTGCCCCACTGGTTACAGTGTCCCACTGGTTACAGTGTCCCACTGGTTACAGGGTCCCACTTGTTACAGGGTCCCACTGGTTACAGTGTCACACTGGTTACAGTGTCACACTGGTTACAGGGTCCCACTAGTTACAGTGCCCCACTGGTTACAGGGTTCCACTGGTTATAGTGTCACACTGGTAACAGGGTCCCACTGGTTACAGTGTCCCACTGGTTACAGTGTCACACTGGTTACAGTGTCACACTGGTTACAGGGTCCCACTGGTTACAGTGTGCTACTGGTTACAGTGTCCCACTGGTTACAGGGTCCCACTGGTTACAGTGTCACACTGGTTACAGGGTCCCACTGGTTACAGTGTCCCACTGGTTACAGTGTCCCACTGGTTACAGTGTCCCACTGGTTAGAGGGTCCCACTGGTTACAGTGATACACTGGTTACAGGGTCCCACTGGTTACAGTGTCCCACTGGTTACAGGGCCCCACTGGTTACAGTGTCACACTGGTTACAGTGTCCCACTGGTTACAGTGTCACACTGGTTATAGTGTCCCACTGGTTACAGGGTCCCACTGGTTACAACGTCCCACTGGTTACAGGGTCCCACTGGTAACAGTGTCACACTGGTTACAGGGTCCCACTGGTTACAATGTCCCACTGGTTACAGGGTCCCACTGGTTACAGTGTCTAACTGGTTACAGGGTCTCACTGGTTACAGGGTCCCACTGGTTACAGGGTCCCACTTGTTACAGTGTCACACTGGTTACAGGGTCCCACTGGTTAAGGTGTCTGACCGACTACGATCTATATCACAAACCTCCAAACACTGGGTTGTGGGTTCCACGCCTTCGCAGGCCAGTCGCCCGGTATTGGCCGCAGGTCGGGATTTATTTCGTCTTAGGGTACTCCGGCTTTACACCGCCGTCAAACCTAACACGTTCCTTAATCACCATAACTGTTAAAAGGACGTGAGACCCCAACCAAACCACACTATTAATGTGCTCGGTTGCAGTGATTCCATATCTGTGTGCTGTGTTGTTAATGTCTCAACATAATTGGTGATAGTAATTAGCTAGTGACGGTGTCGAAATCATAAACACATTCAGTTATTATTGTCGAAATAGCTATTCAAGCTAATCGATGTTATAGGCATTACAGCGAGATTATTGTCATAAGTCGACTTGAAATGTCACGACAAATCGAATTAACGATATTAAGTATCACAATTAAAATTAACTGGTAGCGGGATCATATCAATAATTAATAACAATTTGCACCAGAACGACCAATGTGTTGAAAAATAGCAAAACCAGCCTTAATTCCATTTAATGGCGTCATTCGCCCCGGATAACTAACCTTGAATTCCGTTGCAAGTCGACTTTCGCCCATCATTGGGCTCTTCATGCGACTTGCGTGTTATTATGATGTCTTAGTTTGAAAGGTACACATAATGTATAAATCAAAAATGATGACGTGACAAAATTGATATATTTCAGTACCACAAAAACAACTTTAGTATCTAAATTTATTTATAATTATAAAGCAATTAAGAAAATTTGCAAACAACTAACCAATCCATTACTTTGCAAGGCCTCCGTTTACGTGTGCATATATGTTTTAATACTAATACAATTAGTAAATTGGAATATTCATTAAAAGATGAAGTTTACTATGGTATGTTGTCATAGAAAACATTTATTCTGCGATGTACATAAAACCAAGATAAGGCGTATCGTCATAGGGTTTTGGTCAGCGATGAGTTTAGCAAAATATAATAGGAATATTTATAAGATCGCCGGAATATATTCACTTATTCAACGTTAGATATGTAAGATTTCAGACAAGTAAAATTAAATAGCAAAAATAAATAAAAAATTAAAATAATACATGGAAATCTATATAATTTAACGCGTTCAATATACAATCTTCGAAGACAATACAAAGTCTTCACAATTCAATTCAATTTATTACCAAATGCACATTGCATATAGGCGTACAGAAATATACATATAGATAAATACTTAACAAACATCTTGTACAAAGGCGGAGAACATATGCAATAGATTCAATTCCATACATAATATTTACAAATTATGAAATTGGCATAAGTTTGGGAAAACTTTAAGGTTTTTCCTAAGGCAACTTAGCGGACTCTTATGAAGCATAATTTAGTTGCATAATTTAGTCGTTTAGGAAATAATACAAATAAAGCCGAAATCTAACCAAATTTCTAGGAAATAACAAAACTTCAAAGCCAATCATACAACCTCAACATGAAGGTAGAACGAGTACTATATATTATATAATGAAATGAGATTATAACTTATTGTGAAATAAAAGACATAGATCTCAATCGCATTATACAGTAACAAAACGTTTATAGCAAGAATTTGATACAGCTTATATTTCATAATATACGACTTCACGTTGAAAACACTGACGCCATCATATACCTAAAACAGTGAACACAGCATGACACAAAGAACATTTATGCAAAAAAAAAAAAAACCCATGTATGTTTTGTTCGTTACTGAAATATATTCACTATAGTAGCATTACTTTGGTGTCGAATTAAAATAGTAATTAATACTTACGGAGATTATTGAGCTGTGAAATTTTAATAAGTTAGCACACATGCATCTTTCCGTAAACAAATATTTTGAAACATTTTTAAATTGTATACAATATACATAAAAATATAACCATTTGATAACGTGCTATTAGGAATATACAAACAATGCGATTAACTCATTTGGTAAAACATCGCAAAAACAAGGTTTAAAATTATCTCTCTCTATATATTTCAATATTTTCACAAAACAAGTGGCTTATTTTAAAGATGACGATGTGTGCAATATCTCCTGAAACTATAGTATATATATTATGTAAATACGTTATGCTTAAGATCAAATTTGACAGCGGAAATATAGTTCTATAAAATTATTACTGGACTTAGTGCATTATTTATCAGCTTGCTTCTTTTGCATTTTATAGTTATTCAGTGACTCTTGAAATGTTAATCACAGCTTAAATATACCTTTACTTTATATAATGTACTCCCGTGGCGAAACGTGCAACACAAATATTCCGTCTTTGCGCATTGCAGAGTTATCTTCTCTTGTGAGCAAGTATTGATTGTTACGTCATTGGTTTGTGTTTGAAAATTATGTCGTTTTTCAAATAAATTATGACGTTACTCTCACAAACAAATGACGTAACAACCAATACCTGCTCACAAGAGCAGATAACTCTGCAATACGAACAGACGGAATAGGCTAAACGTCTGCATTAGATTGCTTTGTAATTATTTTCTTTTTTGTTGGAATATTGTTTTTGCTAATAACTCCCACCTTAACGGAGGCCAATGGTTACCAATTCTGAAATTTTAGTTCGAACAATTCTTCTTTGTCAAATAATACAATAGTTTGGTGGTTTTATCCTTGCCGGTATACCCCCTGTCGTCATAATAATGATACTATTTATAGCACTGAATTTGACGTTGTTACTTTGGTTGTTGTTTTAGAAATTGCTAAACGTTTTTTCATACACAATTTTTATTTCAGTATTTCAAACACACAGTCAGTTAGCTCACATTGATGATTTTGGAAATGACTTCGACGCAAACACGACATCGATTTGATTTTACAATTTTTCACGAATTCAAAGTTATTTCTTTTTAAACAAATGATATTCTCTTCTGGTATTGGTGACTTATATAAAGATATGAGGAATTATATAAACGTGTTGATTATCTATTATATTAAGGACACTGCACCAAACATATAATTTTAAGAACAAGAGATAGTATAAGCGTAATATTTCTAATTTTACATTAATAACATTTTAGACCTAAGGACAATATGTTCAAATAGAATTGTTCGATTTTTTTTGCACCAAAAAGAGTATTTTGTTTGTTTTAATGACAAGTGCATACGTTTTTGTGAATAAATACAATGATAGATACAATGTCTTAAATAAAAGAAAATCTTGAAAGACGTAGAAGAGCAAATACGAGTTAACTCCCCTCGGAGAACAATGAAAGTAGTCTTTCAACATGTCTGAATTCTAAGGCGTGTTTGAACCCACTTAGATCCGGGAAAGGTGCCCTGAACATGGTACTTTTTATGAAATGTATATTGGGCAATTAACTTGTTAACACGGTCAAACTAACATCTAATGTTCAGGTTTGAAGTCGCATTCGCTATCAACTTCAGCTCAAGGATTTGGTAAGCAGTTGTTTAATATATTTGTTTTGTAGTAAGAATTCATCTAGCAAAATATTCATATGATATTTTTTTCCGTTTCTTCTCTTTGATAAATCTCGATAGCGGTTAATGCGGCTAATGAAAATGACAGCAATAATGTGTATGCAATAATAAAAAGGGAGAAAAACCACACAGAACTTACATTTTGTGTACAAGTCATGGCATTGTTGTTCCATTGTAACAGCACACACGTGAAATAAGTGTAGGATTGTAATATCTAACACCTCTTTCTTACCATGGACAGTTCTGTCCTACTTGTACAGTAATGCGAGAATGTAGAATCACGGAAATAGCAATGTCTTACATGAAATACATATATAATTCTTTTTATTGTACAAACAATTTAAAAAAAAAACAGATTCTGGGCGCATACAGTAACCGATTGGGAAGTTAACCTATTTCCTTTATCTAAATAATGATAAATAATGAAAATAATTTGAGATTCTTATATACCGCTTTATCACAACCTAGTTCGTAGGTCGTCTCAAAGCGGTTCACAAAATAGTATATGTGGTTATAAAGCCTTTGCAACTAGCCAATAGCTTTCTCAACTCCCTGGGGAGCATACAGCTGCTGCTGCCATTTCGTCGCTCAGAGCTAGCATTCAACAATTTTAGCACTGCCCAACAACGTACTCAGTATACTGGAACAAGCGGAGTAAAAAATCTTGCTCAAAGATACAACACAGTACGCCGTGACCCGTATCCGCAACCAGTCGGTCAGAAACCCGGCGTCCTACCACTAGACTACTGTGTCGACAATAAATCCGGGATCCTTGTATAAAAGTAAAAATTGTCGCGGTTGAGTGAATTTGCACAAAACAAATATACTCGCAAAAGCTTCCACGTTATAGCAAGAAAATAAAAAAACTTGTCGGACCAAAATAGTGAGGAAAAGGTTTCAAAATGAATACCAAGTTTGTGTTTAAATTAGTACTTGTATAACGGAATTAAGATAACAAGACATTTGGCGATGAACATATCTCTACGTAAATACTTACCGGTATCAAACTCTCATTATTTACTCATGCAAGACCGCTGCCCTAATAGAAAATCTACGTTAAAGCATACATGTATACACATATATGTCTGGATTTGCTAGCGAAGTGTACTGATGCGTTTCTACTGACTTTAAGTACACAGCAGAGCTACCTCCACTCTGTATGTGTAGACAGATACATGTGTAGACAGACACGCGTGTTTACCATTAGCCGACCTATGATCGCATGTTGCATATGAACATCCGCCATTTTACATATGAGCACTAAGGAAAATGGATAACCCTTATGTTTTCGTGTAGAACAGTATGTACACAACGATACAGCACTGCCACGATGGCGTAGACTTATACTACAGACACGATACTAAATGACCCCTGTGTTCATCACTGTAGGATAGGAGGGGCATGATGCGGGCGTTATACCAGGGAGGTACCGGTGTGAGGAAATTCAGGAAAATATTTTCCTGACTACATTTATGGAATATTAGTTTTAATAATGGAGTGAAGGAGACATTCAAGAAGGTAATGTTTTTTTGTAGTTTGAAAATATACATTGTACATGGTACCACAAATGGTAATCAACACAAACTTAACATATTTCAGTTCCATGAACACTTAACTTACTTCCGCCTTTATATATTCTGCTGCTTTTTGTCGCAATTTATTACGAATATTTCATCAATGTTTTGCTCTGGGGTAAGTGTTTTATAGATGTAAACTCCCCTAAATGGTAAACATTTATGATGAGGTCATTGTCTACGCACTCACTGTATCGTTATCTCGGTATAGATCTATTTGATATAATTATGGAAGGCTCCATCATTTTTGTGATGTCGTTTTAAAGTGATGATGATATCCTAGTTTTTTTTATTTATTATAACTCTACAGAAAACTGGTGAAAAAAATACGAAAACAAACAATCCCTGCACTAATATCTTGAAACCGTACATGTGTTATATAGCTTTTTAATGTCGCAATGCTAGGCTTGTAGTGAGCAGTCGAGCATGGTCAGCTTAAGCGTACATTTTTGAAATGTACTACGGTATGCGTCAACGTTTTGTCAAACTAACGATGCTAGGTAGGTAGAACGTATGTCATTTGGCATTAAACTATCCGTGAAAGTCATTTTAATGAGATATTTCACGAATTCACGTAGGCTGTGTGTATGTATTGTTATTTATGTCGTGAACTTATTGAGAACACCTCAACAAATTAAAGTGTGTAGGAAGGTATACATGTTCAAACTGTCTATAAAGTTGGGAAATAACATTTAAAAACTGGAATCATATTTTACATAGTTTTCCCCTCCTATAAATGTGAATATATAATGAGTGATATGTACATAACAAGGGGTTATTTTTATTACCTACCTACGCGTATACCACAAATCCGTGTCTCAAATTATATACTCTTGTATTATTGTCTACGTATGTAAGATTCACGAGCTCAATGCGGAACACACATGCGGGAAAGGATACATGTTTCTATTACCGTTAACAGGTGTAGTCACATTTTCCCGGTGTGAGATACATGTATCCTTGTCTCACCCTAGAGTTGAGACGGGGGATTCCTCTATTCGTCCCCATTGTATGACGTCACGTCAACAATGCATCATCGCTAACAACCCTGCATTTAGACTGTAATGTTAACATAACAATATGTATATGATACACAATGGATGAACAGGGTACGAGAAAAAGGATCATTAACCCCATTGCGGTGATATTGGTAGTCTCAACCCTCGGGGAAAGATTCCTTAGTTGCCAAACACTCGACAAAACCTCGTGTTTGGCAACTTACACCCACACCTTAGGGTTGAGTGAGATAATTAATAAATCCCACATGGCATACTGCAAAGAAAAATGTCGCACGGTGATTGGTCGAATTGCCAAGGTACCTGAAGCTATGTTAGTATCCTTGCCGGGGTACTAAGGGAGATAACTCGCAGATTCGAATCGAACACACCGGAGAACGTTCGTCTGCTAATGTCAACAATGAACAAAATGGCGAAACGGTTTGCAAGCCACACGGAGAGTGAAATTGAGACAAAACGGGCGTCACTTATACCTACAAACACAAAGAAAAGTAACAATTCAGCAAGCAAAACCTTCAGAGCATACTTAAGCGAAAAGGAGCAAGACACAGATTTTGAGGACTTCTCGAAGCCAAGATTAGACGAGGCATTGGG